TATATATAAGGCTTTGTTTTCAGCCCATTGCCTTCGTTCTGGACTTTAACCGGGACTTTAACCGAATGTATCTTTCGTCCAATTATTCGGCAAGTCAAATCGGATCAACGGAAAACCGCTTGTATGACGGGGTAGCATGTCAGTAGTATGTACGACATCTTGGGGAGCGAGTCAACTGTATTTTAGGGGATTCCAAGATGTTTTTGTCTTGGAGGTTCACATCATTGAGAGGGCTCACAAGGAATAAAATTCCATCCCCCAAAACCATCTCTTCTAGTTGGGTAGGAGGCATTTTAGTTCATTGTGCTTATGTTTCGTTCGGATTATCCTTAGTTTGATCTCTGATGGGTGGCTGTATGTATCCGCTTTAACCTTAGGAAACCCCTTCTATCGGACTGCAATTTTGGAGAATTCACATGTACTTTCTCAAATTAGCGACTTCATTGTTTTCATGTCGTAGTGCAAGTTTTTCCACAGGAAGTCTAAATTCACTTTCCTTTTTCGTCCCAGGCCTAGTACCCGTTCCCATAGACTTATGTGTGGGCACAACGGATGCAAAACGTTCCAAAGAATGCGAACACCAACTTGGTTGTAACTTGGATCAATTATGCCTTGCTTGCATAAAACCAGCATTGTTTCTTCGTGAAAGGTGGCCAGAAGCAGCCGATGACCAAGGTGTCACACAAGAGGATGCTAAACGATGTGGACCAGAGAGCATAGTGTGCATTTTGTCCACTACTTTATGCTTTTCTCCCCGGATACCTGACAGGTAAGTGGTTTTCCCTACCCGAACTCAGCCATGTCTTATCCTTACTAGTTGTAGCCACATGGCAATAACTCTACAGTTGATGCAGATGATGGTCATCTACGACTGTGATGAATAGCAGGCGGACTTCCTACTTATTGTTGTCCTTTCTTGACTTGATTATGCTGATGAGTCCACTAGTGTAAGCACCGGTTTCGACTTCCATTTCGAAGGCTCCTCCGTATTATCGATCGTTGCACAATGGAGGGATGACTACCCAAACTGAAACCCTGTGAAGAAATATGGGTGTTGAGCATTCAGTGTTCAGGTAGTGTCGTTTTGTCTTAAGGCTACTTTTGGCTTTATTGATGGCCAGAACCTGGGGCAGTGTCTGACGGTCATTATCCCTGTAACTTGTTTCCTTATGAACAGTGCACACGAACGTGCTGTAAGCCTTCGCACGAAGTCACCCCACCCAGTTTTTTAAGATAAGGTGACCTTTTTCCGCTGCTCATTCTTCAACTTTGTGGTTGCTGTGCCGAATGGAACTATTCTGCCTATATCTGGTATATATCAGAGGTCGAAATGCTCCCGGGGTAATCGCTCATATAGCAGTAGTTCTCAGACAGCATTACTGTCGTTATTTTACGGACAAATAACAAATACTAATGTATGGGCCTAATACAGTACTCATAATGTTACTGAAAACCCTTCGACAGTCCATGACCGATTTCGGTCTTCTTAGAACTCATCAGGTAGGCGCAGTCCCCGAGTTTCCGTCTGCATCGTCTGAAATTCTTGGAGGCAACTGAGTTACAAGGGTCCGCTCATCAGGTGGCGCAGTCCCCGAGTTTCCGTCTGCATCGTCTGAAATTCTTGGAGGCAACTGAGTTACAAGGGTCCGGGTTCACAAACAAGGTCCATATCGGAACTCCATGAAACATGAAATTTCATCGTGTCAGGCGGACAGATTGCCGTTTTCAAAAACAACTAACTCAGTGGTCTCAACCGGATGTTAAGGATCATCAGTCTCAGAGTTTTCAACAACCTTACGTGTTGTGTATTACGCCTATACATGTATTGCGGTATCTTGAAGATCATGCCAACTGAAACATGAGGTGGCCTGGAGCGACACATTCAGTTGCCTGAAAACATCATAAACGAGAGATTCAGCTGTATTCCAGGTGAGTCACCCATCAAAACCAAAATGATATGCCAATGAGTGTAGTTCGCTAATTTCGTGCAATTTGGATTCAAGTAGAACATGTGGGGTCCTGGAAGAATTGATAACCGGGGAACACTTGTTCCAAGAAGATTTATTCTGGCTGAGTACCGTCTATGCGAGCTTCCTCGTACGCTGAAGGGATGGGAATACGTGGTAGGCGATAAAAACTCACGAGTGTACCGAACCTTTCCCTCGCTCAAACACTTCACCGTTTAGCTACGAACTGAAGAACTTGAGTATTTGGGTTCCAGTCCGATCTCCTCTCCCTGCTGGTTGCTATCCGCTTGATCCTCCCTGCACGTACGGCACATCGCGCACAAACGATCCCACTGGCGAGCATGTTATCAACTCCTAGTCGAACCACCGGCTAGAATTCTTTTGTCATTATTTGGTGCTTTTTGTCGATTGAGACTCGCAAGGGACTTTGGATCAACCCCCCTGATGGTGTCTCACTGCGATATGGTGCTCAGATGCGTTTATCTGGTTGCTCTCCCAAGCTGTACGCACATTGTTCTTGGTCGGTTTCCGTAAGAGCACAAAGCCGTTTGTAAGTCTACATCTTCCTCCTTTCTTGTCACTGCATGCCAGGCATTATTTTCCAGGGTTATAGTGTAGTATTCATTACCAGTTTATTGCTGCCGATCATCACGATGGTGGTTCCACTTGAGTATCTTACCTGTCCATGCATGTCACATCTCGTACAGTAGGATTCTGACGTGCCAGATTCGAAGTTATGCTCTTCTGTATACTAGTTTTCTTCATGTTTTATCGCGATTTTGCCGGTTGATTGGGCCTCTGGATTTCCAGATTGTAGGTATCGATCGGCTTGAAATTATCCACCTCCAGCCTTTGACATTTTGATCAGACCCGCAAGACGGTGGGTGGTACGGTTCCCTCTGTGAGTCACATTCGAATCCAATCCAATCCTTTGGGCTCAATCCGACTGAGGTGTGGGTATATCAGTCTGACTGCTTCTGCGAACACCCCGCACACTTTGAGTTTTATCGGACAGCATGGCTACTTGACGCAAAGCCGTCAGTTTCGGTCAACAAAGTAAAATGTGTCCACATGACAAGTGGAACGGAAGTCTACCGGCTCATACACCCGCATCTCGTTTCATTTCAACTGTGTGAAGTCTTTCATCCCTACCTGTTGTTTGTTTGTCCGACCATCCCCTCCTCCACCCACCGTTCGGCTGCTCTTTTTGATATCCGTGAGTCTATTCGGTTTAAGGCACTGTCAGGTAATCGCTGCAATTTGGACGTTTTAACTAGTAAACCTACCTGTTTTATGCGACCAGGTATTTCCATGACATTCAACTTTTTACCCAGTAGAATTTCACTGATAAGTCCTAAACAAGGTAAAAGGCATCTGCAGGACCAACCTATGTTCTGACTTCAGCTGCACTGAGGGTCGGCTTTTTTCCCCAACAACTCATTGTGTTCGTAACAGTGCGTCTTTCTTTAACAATAGTGGTATATAGTCAGATTTTCTTTCTTCACGGGACACCTCGGATCACATAATTTCGGTGCACTTGGTGAACTGTCAGGAACGGTTGTCTTGTCTTTTACCTTTGGGCGTTTGTTTCATCCCTTCAGTAACGTTTCCGTTGTTGCTTGTTTTCCTCCCTTTTTCCATAGAATCCATGCAATCACTAAAATTTGCATGAAGTATGGTGTGTCACACCTTATTAACAACGCTTATGGCGTCCAGTCTCGTCGATGCATGAGGATGATAGAAGCTGTTGGGAAACTGTTACTACAGGATACATGTGTTGAACAAAGGCAGATATTGCCAGAGTGTAAGTGGAACTATTTCCGAAGTTATGCATATTCGCGCAAGCTACTGAATCATGGAGCCACCATCCGTCGTCTATGTCATCCTGCTTCCATGATGCTTTTCAGGTGACAATTTTTTCTCCTCTAATTTTACTTCATGTTTACGAAGATGTCTTCGTAAAGTAGATGGCAAGTACGGTTTCATGTTTCGCATTTTCGCAACCAGCTTGTATATACTTGGGCAGGTGCCTGCTGATAACAATCTGATGTGAACTCTAAGTACAGTGCCCAAACATCGGTTTGAAGGCCGCCCCACACTAGTCTCCGGTCAGCCGGAGGACTGAACTAATCGACTGACTTTAGCCCCATATGTGCCGTGAGTTCGAGTCAACCACTCTAGAATGGGAATAAATATGAAATCGTCAACCAACGATCCAGGAAACCAACAACCAAGAAATTGACAACGTATCCGACGTGGTGATACATCCGTTCCTCCAAACGGACGTTGCTCCTGGTCTCCAGAAATGTGGACTAACTACTGATGTGACCCACTGGTTGCGACCACATGGTAGTAACAATTGTTCACCAATTCATTAACCTGTGTAATCCAGACTCTATGGGTCTGCCTATTTGGCAGCTAAATTTTCACATATTATACATCAATCTCTTCATTTCAATACCCATTTGTGTCCTCTAAATTAACTTCCCTTCAATTAAGGGATGGTGGCAGAAAACCTTCCTAACCGTATTATTGCACCGTCACTGCTTCACACATCCTCAGTCGGTAATGCTTTTAACTGATGTCCAACCCTAAAGTGATGTTCAGTTCGTTTTTGCTTGGCATGAATTTTCATGGATTCGCTGTTGAGGCGAATGTTGGTAGCTCAGGTAGCATAAATGGTCGTTGCTTTGTTTGCTACGCTCCATTCCGCTTCCTAATAACCAACTAATAATCCCACCTTGATTGGTGATGAAACATTTGCCGCCTAATTGCCCATCTCAGAAGGCGAACCAGCGATCATCAACTTCATGGATTGTTTAACGCAATCCAAATTGGTAATCTAGGATTGCTTGTATTGTTTTGGGTCAATCTCGAAAGCTTTCTCATACACCTATCACCCGCATCTTGTCCCCACTTGCGCTGCTTTGTTACAGAATCTTGTGCTTTATTTGTGCTCTATTTAGTAGTTGAATCCTCTGTTCAGGACTGAGCACTAATGGACCCAACCCACTTCCAAGCGAGCATAAATAATCGTGTTTTCTTTCTCCGAAAACGAATTTTGAGATTTGTATTCGGGACTGACACTGGCCCACAGATTTTCACAGCCTTAATACAATTTCCAAGTTTCAAGAAAGTATTACTGGCAAAGCGCCGACGGAAGGACCTTCACTTTGATTGCCCGTACGTTTATCTAACTACCTGCTATTTGCCATACAAACCGGGTCGTATACTCACATGCATTCGTTAAACCAACTGTAAACATGATTGTCACTTCGAATGAATCGAGACATACTATCCTGATCTCTGTAACGCTGTTTACGGCAGTTAGTCTGATTCTATCCGCACCACATAAACGGTGTGGAAACGTCCACTAGGTTGATATTACAATGTTTTTTGCATTCACAACGTAGTGTGTATTTCATGAAACGGCTATTCTGCCACCCCTCTGAGCCTTCAGTCAATATATTTGAAGGGGGATTTGTACATTACAGTCAACAAAGCAAACATTGACATCAGAAGTATCGCTTGACAATTCTTCCTATCTTTCGTGTCGCCTCATTCTAGGCAAACCGGAATAGGCCTATTGCGGGCAAAGTCGCGGTGTGTAATATCACACTACATTGATCCACATGTACTCACACGTCATACGACGAAACGTAGTGCACTGGTAGAAAGTTCAACGACTCTCTGATCTGGGGTTTTTTCCAGGTTGTACATAGATACCCCCTGCTGTCAAACACATGGGACGTCGTATAACTGCGTTGCAATGTTGTCGCCAACAGTACGTCAAGAAACACTGGCCCGCATTCGAAAGATAAGAGCGGCCTTTGTTGATTCCATTGTCCATTGACAATCATACTGGATATTTCGAACTTAGAGACAGGATTTTGGTTTGTAGAGCAACAAGATGAGCTCAGTATGACATTTACAAATATGCACTGGATGTTACCGTAATGCGTCAATCGGTTGGAGGTTTGTGGGATTCTGAAACAAACGAATCGACTGTCCTTTCGACCGCCATTCTTTTGCATACCGAAAGTAAGCCAGTCGTTCCTGGAAATTCCTCTCACCGTAGACTTCAGTTAATTACATGCGTGCCCATCGTTGGCTATGGATTAAGCTTTTCTTCGATCCATGTAGTAGTGGTAGCTGATCAGTAGGCAAAAATCATCTAGGTCGCTTATCACATGTATCTCCCCGCATATGTTGATTTTCTTGGTTTTTGAACTCAAACGTGGACAAGGGCCAAAAAACGAGTCTGTCCGCCAGGTTGATCTCTAGATCTCTACTTTACCGGTTCACGGCCACAAAAGACAAATTGACATGTGAATGAGTATCAGCATTTAGTTCAGGCCATCACTTGAGCTTTTTTGGTTCGGAAACTAATTTTCGGAAGATCACCTTAATCTTTATACCTTCTCCTTGTATTCTTCAGCCACAAATTCTGAATCCCATGCATCTGGCAAGGTGCAGCAATCTCTATCCAGTCCCATCGTCCCTCCTAAAATGCCTGACGGTGAACTGGCTATTGACTTATTGTACGTTCAGAGTACAGATAAGAACCTGATGGTGCCCGTTGGCGGGGCAATCGTAGCCGGTTTCTCCAAGTCCCTCGTTGATTTTGTTGCAAAGTCCTACCCGGGTAAGATTACTTTTGCGTATCTTTTAGGCTGTTATTATGCGAAGGATTCCGGACTGTTTTTGCAATCTGGTTAACCAAAATCTGAAACAATTACTATTTTCGGTTTGAGTCTGTGACCATATGCTTCCCAGAGGATACGAAATAAACACTCATTAAACGCACTTTTCCGTTTCTGTTCACAGAAGGTTCTATACATGTGGATGTGACTCTCGGCTTAACTTTATTGTGTGTGCAGTACGTCTCCACAACAAGCTCCGCGGATTCGTACTTAGTTTTACCTTATCCACTTACCTTCATTCTTTATCTTTATTGGAGCGTAACTGCCTAGTCGTACCCTAACAAAGTAGCTCATTTATTATTGCAGCGTGCAACCAATTCCTGTGATTCTATTAGCTGTGACCAAGACTTTGTCAATGAATAGTGTATATTTGCATGAGAGAGTAACGATGGTAGGTCGGCCACCGGTTCAGTTATATGTCCCCGGACAACAAAAAAGCCGCCACGACAAACATTTTCCGGTGGCTCATGGACGTTTCAGTTCACCAGTAGTCGTGGGTCCATGTTATGTTACAGGTTGTGTATTGGTGCATCATCGTGATGGCATGTCTTCCAATTGACAGATTCTTCTTGCCCTGCTATCACAGGCTAAGTATCCTGCTACCGATTCCAGTTAGCATGTTGCCTCTTCAAATCCTATTCAGGATCGTTAGCAGCTACGGGTTAGGTGAAAACCGATCTCCAGTGATATAGTTTTTCGGCTAGAAGGATATCCGCATTATCTGATTATGAAAACACCGTAATTGTAAACATCCACAATTCACTCGTTTTGAATCTGGGTTGTGTTTGAGTTCGCGATTCGCGAAACGGATTGGATAGTACACGGACTGATATGAAGAGCTTGAGGCAACGCTAAAACCTCTGGTCATATGTCAAGCTTGGGCAACCTGGCGGTATCCCAGCCCTCGTGCAACCTTCGGGTGGCATGGCAGTTAGGCACTGAAAGGGTGCTACAGCTGAACGATTTTTTATATGAAGCGATCTCAGTCTAAGTGAGAATTTGGCTTTAAAACGAAGTTATCCACGCCGGTCGTGTGGCATTATCCGGCTTGTTTGAGTGACCCACTTGATTTACACGCGAAGTGTTTATTGTATGCTGGCTATTTTCGTTTTCATAACAGGTGTTGTATTGTGCTCATCAATGGCAGTGTTCAAGTTCGTTTACCTTATTTTCCACAGGCCGGGCCTCTGGTACACCATCTTTGGATGTCCTTGCAACGCTATTGCACTTGGGAAGCAGGGGTTGGACCGAACTTATCGATCGCCGTGAAGTGTGCTTTAAAAAACTCCTTTCCGGACTCGAAGAACTGGCCGGTCGTCACGGTTTACGAGTTCTCGGGACTGCAGACAATCCGATCTCACTGGCTCTTGACCTCAATGGTTTGTGCTCTGAACCTGGTCGAGAACCCAATCCGGATAGTCTGCGAAGGCTCACTCAGCTGGGAGCCCACTTATTCACTCAAGGTTGCTCCGGAGTCCGGTAATTTCAGCTGTATTCATCCTGTAGTTCAATTAGGTGACTGTTGATCGCACGCTTTGTTCTATCTTTAACTCTTCTCTCATCCGTTTTTTATTCTGCCTATTCGATAACCGGCATGCATTGCCCATTAGCAGTTCGATGCAATCAGGGTTCTAGTAGATGAAGTTGCTAACAGATGGGAAACTGAGAACGCTGAAATCCTAGTAGAGATGAACGGCAGTGAAGCATCAGTGCTAACACCGATGTTGCTGTCTTTGATGATGATGGTGATGATGAACGTGCCCTCCGGATGGTTGCACTCGGCGCAACGACAATTCACGTGATAGTTGTGACATTCCTGTCGGATTCATTGGTGAATAACGTAATTCGATTTCTCTCACCTCACTTAAATGCAGGTGTCCCTATCAAGAGACCACTCCTTAGCTTAAACCACAGACTAACTCGTAAAACATACTTCGGTCACAGGCAACTTTTCACATTCTCTAACGTTTTATTAAATGTCCTGAGGGAGCCAATCACATTTACCTTAGACGTTTCCCGGGCAACCCAAATCGAACACGTGTTCTCATTGATTCGGTGAAGTGCACTGCCCGTGTGAAGTGACCTGTGAAATAGTGACAAAGCTAGTGCTCAATTTTTCGAGATTACTGGACCCCCTCACACTTTTTGCGGTTCATATTTGATGGTGTAAAAGTTGCTCACGCTAACTTGTGCGCTCTCTGGTCTTTTACTGACTTTTGTGGTCGTCACCGTCGATTATTCCGGTTTGTAATTTACTGAGTTAGATGCAGTACTTTGTTCTTGTTTAATTCAGTGAACGTATGTACCGCGACTATTTGTAAGTGGCTACTGGTAACGTATAGGCCTTGTATCTCCGACAGACCACAAAATGCGAAATAACAGGAGTGAGTGTAATAGGCTGACTTTCTCCTATTTCAGTCCTTGTATTTTTTAACTAGCAGACTACCTTCCATCAATCCCGCAGAAGACGGTCGGACGTAACACATTTGAGAAACTAGTTGCTTTTTAGCCCCACAGGATTTGTCAAAATTGGGCCAATATTACTCGTTTTAACAACCTTTCACGCCATGCAGCGATTATTCCGGTCGTTCCGGGAGATTCACAATGTACGTGGCGCTACATCACCAAAGCCAACCGACGTCGTTTAGCTGTGGCACCCTCTCAGTGCATGGTTACGATTGAGCTCGAGCGCTGGAATGCTGCCAGGTTGCTGGACCGTAGACAGAAACATTCGAAACCGAGATTGGTCCCCCCAACCAGTAGCTTGCGCCTGAGTCCCTGAGATATCTCGGGGAAACCTGACAGGCTTGACATTCGATCATCACAACTGTGACAGTCAGGTGTTCCTAACCAAAGCCGTCAGGAAAGCGTACTCATATCGCTCAAGTACGACTATGTCCGCCTATCTGCTTCATGAATTAGATTACTGGAGTTTAAACCCCCGTAGTTGCGTAGGAGCATTGATTGAGAGAAGTTCGAGCTCGGTGCTCTCTTCTGAGCTGGACCAGGATGGCCACGACAGACAGAGGACTGTTCACAAATGGGTTGTGGACACAAAAATAATTAACAGAGGTCAGCAGATGGTGTCAGCCCCTGGAATGACCATTGTCGAGAAGTAATCCACAAAATTGTTGTCAGTGACGTCCTCAGGAAAGTCCACTGACAATCCCCATAGAGCTGAAGCTCCATCGTAGGTCCCATGTATTGCTTTTGGCTTGTAACCCGGCATATGTTGTCTGTTTTTCATGTAATGTCATTGATCTTGCTCACAGCAACAGTCCTCTTTTCCTTGGATAGGGATGTTTGTTTGCTGTGCATTGCAAAGGTCTCGCGTTCCTATTTCCTTGTGTTTTCGTTCCAGCGTTGTGCTCCCTGCTAGTGTTCAGCAGGTGCAACAACTGGGTGCTTATTCCTTCCCTGGTTTTGGTTCGCACAGTTCTTCCTCCACCATAGCCTATCTGAACGCGGCGGCTGCTGTGGGACAAACAGAGTCGGAGGTGGGTCTGTTCCTGAACAAGCTCGATAAGGCTTTGAAGCAGTTTAGATCAAACAACCAAGTGATTTCAGCTGAAGACATATCGCCGTAGTGTTGTGATATTACGTGTACAGCTTTGAACAACCTATCCGTATACCTTCAATGTGATTTGAAAACAAAGTTTGCAGCTATTCGTTTTCTCTAATCTGTACGCTGATAGTGTTCAGCTAAAAACGTAGGCTTCCACTCACAGATGGATGCGCAAAGCAATTATTTTTCACTATTGACACGGATTGTGAATAACTGTATGTGAAAAAATCTGAATAACAGCGGTGCTTTCCTCCTTAAATACGGATTAAATAGCTGTCAGTGTAGTTGCCCAAAGCGACCAAGTCAACAGTTCGAATATTGTCAATGGAATCGAATGCGCGTCAAGTTACTTAAACAGGGTAAACCATCCGTACACTAATCTTCCCATATTTAGAACACAATATGCTGCCATATAATGTGCGATGCGATTCTCCAGCCATCCGTTTTTTTGGCGAGCACAACTTCCACACTTTTCCTGCGTTTCGGAAGTGGCCAAGGAACCAACGAAAACGCAAGGCCAGATTAGAGAATTCGATTAAGCAGTGAGTCTTAAGCAAGATTACTTGTCCGTCTCTATCAGACTCGGCAGCTAAAGTGAGTCCTCAGTTGAATTGGCCAGGTCGGTGAAGCAGCCACGTAGTCTATGTCACATGGGGCCCTCCGTCTGTTTTGGCTTCGCTCCCTTAGTGGTTGATTAGACAAAACGCATGAAGACCCAACTTCTCCCAGAAGATTGCTTAGCAGGAATCTGTTGCGCAGAGGAACGACGCTTTGATATTTTGGTGAATAGTTGTTCCTCTGTTTAAGTGTCGTGCGGGTAGTGCCCCCACTTTGAACTAATTGTGGAATCTATTGCTTCCAACATAGATTTAAGGCTATCTAGACATGCATCAGGTTTTCTCCTTGTGTCCGAGACACGTCAGTCAGCGCTTGCCTTGGGTGAAATTACCATCCATAGGATCATGTTGCCGTTTTATTGATAGAAGCTAGGTAGTATTCTTTACGGGTTGTCGGAATAGTTGAACCTCGAGCTAACTGCTGAACTATCCGTTCCTCACTTCACACAGTTATCTCCGGCTGGTCATCGGTTCGATGCAGCGTTGCTCCATCGTTCATGAACGCCATTAGATCCACTATCTGCTGCAGCAACCTAGGTCCCATCGGAGTATGCCGAAAAAATGCTGGAGTGCGTAGCTGCCGGGCACCACTGCGCAGCACTAAGTAGTTGGGTCATACCTTTTCGGCTTATCAAATCGCAGGTCGCTAAACTGCGACCAATCATGTTTCATGTTTACAATCTTCAACACCAGATTCCCCACTCACCGCTTATTTTGAATAGCCTACATAGTCCTACCAACTATGAGCTGGTTATCAAAACGTGTTGGGAAACGCGGATTGTCTAATCTGTGAAACTCAGCCGCCGGTTTATCGTTGCTGATAGTGGCGCCTAAAACTTCATTATTGTTGCGGACGGACGACCTTACTGTGTTGTAACGGTTTCTGCATCTCGGTGTCCCATTGAACTATACTAGAGGTTGTCTATCCGACATTCGCAGAACGCGCTATGCCAAGACGGTCACTGAAAGGCTTTTGACACTCCAGGTTGTGGATTTGAACATGCGTGGCAATATGCCCCTAAAAATCGCACCATGCCAATCATGGCAGCATGTGGCCAGGCCTTGGGTGAGGATCCTATTTGTGCTGTTTAGGTTTGGACGAAGTTCGCAAACGACGTTGGGTCAACCCCACTGAGGGCCTCTTGCTCCAATACAATGTTGACAAGTGCTTGAGAGCTTGGAGTATCTTAGAGTACCCTAGTCATGTCCGTTCTTTTCGGGAACGTTGGGCATTTTATAGTGAGGCCGCAACACTCCATTCTTACTAGGACTCTTCACGGTTTTATGCCAGTAAAGCATCACCTTCAACTGCGAGTGCGTTGCTGCCCAAGATCACCATCTTTGGCCTCGGCTAGAAATGTCAATTCAAGTAGTCACGACACATTTGTTTCCCTTCTTCCTGATCCCACCATTAGTAAACACTAGTCCAAAGGTCTTTTAATGACAAATTAAACAACCATTAGTTAGAATTTCAGAACGGAAGAACAACAGCCCTTGGTGTGACTTGTCACAATGCCTTCCATTTGGTAGTGAATCTACCCTTCTTGAAGCAGTCCATAGCACTTGAAAGTTGTCTGAACGACCTTCCGAGTGCTCTGATAGAATATAACGCATGTTCCACACACTATATTCGGTTATAGTTGTGATTTTGTACACTCGGAAAATCGGTAGTTCGGGTGCATTTAGCTGCAGTTGATTAGGTGGCTGTCGATCTGTTCGTCGAGCTCGGCAATTGACTTGCAAGAGTTTCGTCACCAATCCAGGAGGTAGGATCATCAAACGGTTGATGCGCGCACCGATCAATTACCACTTTGTATTCGTTTAGAGATAAGGTTTTATCGCCTGTTATGTAAACGCTTCCCGAATGCGCGCGTGCATGTGCCTTGGATCAGCCGATTAAGTGTAGAAAATGGTTCAAAAGAAGCCTCAGCTCTCTAACTTTTATGTTCCAGATAGAAGATAAACACAGGCATCGACTTTGAAAAAATCTGTATATGAATAGACGTTTCCGTGAAACAATGTACAAAAATACCTGCAATTCATAACATTCAAGACAAAAGTGGATCAGCAGGGAAAAATACTGCCGCGGAGCGCACATCTGATTCATCGGGATCGTTCGGATATAGCTTAGACATGGCAATCATTAAGCGAGAATTCCGGGCATTCAGTAGCTAGAACAAGCAAAGAAAAATAAATATCGAAAAGTAGCGAGCGGGAAACATGCGACATCGATCAATTATCGGCAGTTCAGAAAATCGCACAACGACTGACCAGTGATTGAACGACCGTGTGATTGACAAAATGAACTGGAAAGTTATTTACGTGAAAGAAAATCAAACATCACAACGCGAACGGTCTGTCTGCACTCTCTGGTTAACCAGAAAGCAGACTACGGAGAACAATAACTCTGAACTCATCAGTTCAAGAAGAGTGACGTCGCACAGCGGACCTCCAATAACTCTGGTTGATGCAACGAGTCAAGTAGACAAGCCAACAGTGTGATGCAATCAACTGGCTGATAAGCACATGCGAGTATGTAGTTCACTGATAACCGATAGGATGGGAAGGCTTTAGGAACAAGTCAATGGGCAAACAGATGCATCCATATTAAGAACAGCTCGGCACAACAACCGCTTTTCAACTCTACTTCAAATAGATAAGCTTAGCCATTCACTGGAACGAAATGGCTCGCTGGAAACGTGGAACTCACCTGTTCGCACACAGCAAGAAGTCGCAGGCGAGGGTGATGAGGGACAGAGGCAAGTGCACTCGAGTTATCTCGCTTCCTCGGGATCCAAAACACCAAGCGTCCTCCTGGTTTCAACAAACGGACGCTGAGATTCATTAGATCTCTATGGGTCTCAGAGAGCGGGTAGGTTTCCTGTTAGATAGATTTGGCAAGAAATGTGATATCAAACGACTATCATTAAGAATGATATGAGGTTGCACTGATTTCACATACTCACTTTATGCGGAATATGGGGAAGATCATGTGGAACTGTCAACAAAGCCTCTTCTGTTTGATCGTTTTTCAGCAAGCTGCACGAGAAGAATGGGTAATTTACTGGGGAAAATGGTTGTTAAAACATTCAACGGTGAAAGAGCAGCCAAGAAAAAGCTAACCAGATCGACAGTCGCGTGAAAGAATACGTTCAAAAATAAACTGAAGGACACCTTACCACAAACTCAGGAAATATTCTGCAAGCAAAGCGAGAGTAATATCTACAAATATTGGTATCCTGGGGATATCCATTGATGACTTGACAGTCGACCTTCGACGGCTCCGCCACCAATCGAGGGGACAACATTGGCGCATGGTTGATTGGCTCAGAAAACACTTGGCTGCTTTTAACCGTCTAAGGTTCATCGCGTGCACCAGTTCAATAAAACGCGTTGTTTGATCTTCGCCATGTTTGTGTAGTTAGCGGCTGCGTGTCGCTGCCGTCAACGGTGAAAACCGACAACGCTCCACCGACCTTCCATATCCACCTGTGAGAACAGCAGGTTTTCATCAGTGTTAAGTGAGCTAAAGTGCTGCTGAGTCAAACAGTAGCCGAACTGTTGATGACGAAAACCGCATAGGATTGGAGCCTCGATCAATGAAAGATTGAATGTCGTATTAACTCGTGTTTTGTTTATCTGCCCCTGCAAAAATATGCATTGGCCTACCTTTCTGATATAACCTTAGGAATGATACACTCTTCAGAAAGCACTGTTTAAAGATCTTTTTAAAGAGTAAATCATGGTCTTCTGATCGTCGTAAAAACTCACTCTGTTAGTGGGATACCTGTGATTTCTGACAGCCGATCTGCAGTCACCATACTAGGTGCCCGTTCAACTGCCTGAACAGCAACCCGGCGGCTACTTTCCCGAAATCCATATGGAGGATCTGTTAGGATGGCATCAAGCAACCCGATGTTAGAATTGCCGTCAACAGGATGCATTGGATTCATCAGGTTCTCCACACCGGGTGCACGAAGAAGACGATGTAGGCTTGCCGCATCGGCCACAACAACATCCAAATAGCATGACTGAAGACCGTATTGATAGTAGTTTGTGCGCAGACATTCGCCATCCATCCGTTTACCCTATTAGTGAAATGGTAGAAAAGAAAGCAATCCATCCGTTACCCTATTAGTGAAATGGTAGAAAAGAAAGCATCGCAAAATTGAGGCAATTATCTTGCAGATCTGAGGTTATGCGGAACCATAGAGGTCCGCCGACATCCAATAATAAGTCAACACAGTAAGCTTAAATTCAGTACTTCTACGTGTTCCCAACGATACTATAGGACGGGCATAGCGTTGTTCGTCCAACTAATAGAAACCCTAGCATTCATTACGGGCAGGTCCCGTCCCGAGAATTCTTATTTATACCCGGGTCTTCAGCCAGTCCGCCGCAACGTATACAACTGATCAGATAGACAAGCATGAGGCTTGGGATTGATTCCACTCACTTTGCGCTGGAGATATGAAGCGTACACCAAACCGTGCGGAGAATCGGTTAGGTTATTTAAAATGGGTTGGTCAGAAAGGTCAGATTCCTGAAAGAAACCCCAGAATGCCGGAAACCTACAGATACCCTCAAACTCCACCAAAATCTCAATGTAGAAGCCGGCAAGCATCCATCAATCAATTCAGCCTGGATCAACGAAAAAACACTGAAAATAGCGAAAGGCTCCTTATAGCTGTTGCATTCGCATATCAGCAATAAAGCTGTTGTGTTCCTTGCTGGAGAGTCTTTGTGTGACACCAACGCTCTGGAGCGGAAGACGGCAATTAGATACAGCAGGCCTGCACTTTTGGAGAATCGGAAACAAGGGAAGCAATGAGCGAACGCCCGGAGGGCATCCCGGGGCAGTCAAATGACCCAGCGACGTTTGTTTGTGAGGTGGGAAGGGGTTGGGGAGGGACAGGATTGTGCGGCCAAATGACACTTCCCGGTTCCCAAGGCCGAGGCAGGGGTTTGGTTGAAGTACTCCACATTGAGCCTTTGACTCGAAAGGTCTGACCCGCAGGGCAGCGGTTGTTAGGGCCTCTTTGAGGAGCCTACCAGGAGCCGGCGACTCAATAGTCCGACCTGCTCGGCTGCAGGGGGTCGGCCTAGCACAGCACAGGGAGTAGAGTACTACTGTCTCCCCTTATGCGGTCAAGCCTTGTGAGCAGCACCGGACTCTAGTTTTAAAAGTATTCCAACAGTACTAAATAATGCACCGGCGGTCATGGCCAACCGTTGGGTGATCGGAGTATGCGGTTTTCAGGGTCGAACTTTTCTAACCCGTTCCTCCTCGGGGAAAGGCAGCATCGCCGCTTCCATGAATATAGACATGCCGGTCACCCGGGGGAAACGGATTACTACCTTCATACTCCTATCGCATAGAGCATTACGACTTTACCTCCAGACCTCCTCGTAGCACGACTACTCGTAGTACGAGGTCTCTTCGGTCCTCCTGGCACCTTGTAGGATGAAGTTCCAGCCAGTGTAGCTCGCGGGATCATTGCAGCACTCAAGGCCAACCACCAAGTCAAGGTGGCAGCTTTAGGTTGGGGTACGGCAGTTAAGTATTAGTGTCAACATAGGTGTTACTGATGGACCCCTTCCTTTCTTGTGAGAAAGCAGCCTCTGTGTCTGGACGCCTGAAAAGAACGCCTTACTATCTTCACACTCCTACTGCAAGGGACAATAAGACTTTACTTCCAGGTCGCCGGGCAATAGGACTTCTCGCAGTACGTCGCACGCTATTCTTCGTTAGTCCACCCACCATGGCTGGACCTCAAGGGACTGAGTTCCAGTTAGTGTAGCCAGCAACATTATTGCAATACTGAATCCCGGCAATCACGACAAGGTGAGGGATTTAAGTCAGCTGTCGGAGCGTATGCTGACAACAAACAAACAGCGTCTATCACATCGAGGTGCATTGATCCTCACCGTTCAAAGATGACTACTTTCTGGAGTAGAGTACAGTAAGGCGCGCTCAGCCCTTGGGCTAAGCATAGCTTTCACTCCGTAGATTCCAAGAGTCACTGTATCAGGATCACCAAAAACTCGGAGAGTAAAGTGCGAGAAATCTGGGTTGGTCTTGAGCAAATTCCAAGTGCATGAACGGATTGAAATTTTGTGTATATGTTTTGGAGACATAACAGACGTCGGCAAAAATGAAACGCAAGAGGTGTTTGTTCCTTAGGTTGACAAACAGTACGTACTTTGAAGATCGCAATCTGGATTAGATCTTTTGGATTCAGTAGGCAATTGTTTTTGTTTATTGCACTTGGCGAGAATTTGGACACGGAAAAATGGTTAAGAGACTGATAGATGGGCTAACCGCAAGGCGTATTGAAGTCGCTTCGCAATACTAATTCTTGTAGTACCTGGATACGCTATTCTTCTTCAGGGTGCTCCCCGTTTGCCTTCCTAAGATGCTTGAAACTTAATGGACTGAATTCCAGGCAGTGTAGCCCACAGGATCATTGAAGTCCGACAACCACGACAAAGTGACAGCTTTAGGCCGAGATGCACAAAACATTCTTAGTTGTACCTTCGCTCGGCCCACAAAACATGTTTCAACCATGGTTGGATACGACCAAGAATCTAATATGACCCTTGGATGACTCTGATGATCAGTGCAGTGACTAAAAGTGAAGCACAGATAAACAAGATGACGAAGCGAAATGAATCAATCATACCTGACCTGCCTTGGGAGACATTCCCATTCCATGTAGCAGTGCGTAATCAATATCTGACCCCGCTCCAAACGCACCCCATATAGAGGCGGCAATAACAATGCTACCAGCTCCCAAAAATGGATCCCAGATGAGACTGCCAGGTTCACACAAACCGATGTTGGCCATGATTCCAGCGAGTCGAACGTCCATACTTGTGTTGCCGAGATAAACACGATTCGCCAGCCGGTACGCATTGATTATTTCCTTCCGTTTACTGTTTCCAGTGAGCCGACCATAAAATAAACGACGTAATTTCGCACCACATTTAGGTGTTCCCTTGACCCAATTCCGTGGCTCGTAGTCCAACAAGATTTGTAACTGATGCTGAAAAACGTAGCAAACGAAATCTGGTATAGATGTAAATGTCATGAACCGGTTGGAACTTGTTCGTCAGTTGGATAACAATCCAGTCATAAAGCTAGTTGGCTGTTGTACTCCGAACAGTCAATGAATTCTAATGCGTAATGAAGGTTGATGCCTCATAGTTGTTTTTGTATACGCTTGGGTAGCTCCGATTCGTGATACGTGGACTCAGTGACATGACCGACTATCATTCTGCTGTAGCGCCCATGTGGTGCATAACTGCCATGCAGCCCCAAGGAAGCACGAGTGTTGAAGAACTGTCCAACTCTAGACAGGAACGAACGACAAGTCATGGTTGGGTTTCAGCTGCGGATCTTCTGGTAAGCGATTTCATGTCTTAACCATTGACCTGTTTCAAGTTCAAGTACAAGACGCAGTGGATAACGCTGTTAATGTACTTCTCAAAAACCTGCACGAGAAAGGGATAGTCTTTTACCTCATCAGAGTGAACGGGAGAGGAGGATAAAAATGAATGGGTCTTATTGACTCGCTGACTAGAAAGCCAGAAGAACGGTAATTATATTACAAGCGCATACCGGTAATGTGTGAGACAAAAGTAGCTCCATTCATCGCTTTTCTTCGTTCATTAATAATGCTGAAAGGTGAACGATAATTCCGTTCCAAATAAGCACCTATTTTGAATGTAACCAGATAACGAGGGTAGCCATTCCTTTTTCTGGTGCCTAGTCAGTCGGTCCCTCATTATCATGTAGTTGTTTTGGAATAACATACCGTTAGTGTTAACAGTACTACCATGACTTTCTTGAGGATATACTTTCAAAATTCAAATGTGAATGATAGAGCAGCACAGTACAAGTGAGTAACAGAATTACAACGAGTCGCCAGATTCTTACTTGGGCTCATCAGCCCGACACACCAAGACCCAGGGTCACAATTTCACAGCGTTTCATCGCAAACTACCCTCATTCGGCCGCACTGCTATTCGATAAGGCATGGTACTGAACAGATTGCACGTACAAAAAACGACACGCAGTTAGGGACGAGAACTAAGAGTTATGTGGGATGAATGGATAAATCGCCCCCTCGGTCTCTGGGTCATTATCATCATCGCTGACAGCAATACATCAGTAATACGTATTGGTACTTGACCGTGACGTGTTATTGTTCCTATGTAGCCCTTCATACTAGATGCCGTATTGCGGTGAGCGCAGTCTAGGCGGTAACAGACGCTGGAGACCGAAAGTATGCGAGTAAAATTCAGTAACCAATTTGTTGTCCTATTATATACAACATCACGCATTAGTGGATCGATATCACTTAGAGGCATATAATTTGGTTGGAGGCTACCGACATGGTATGTTGCACTATACTTCGGACGTGTCATGTAAGATGAAGGGGGAATGACGTGTATTTGGCTGGTTCAGCTAAAAGCGAAGTACAATAAAATCGACAGCGATAAATACAAGCCGTCAAGACGCACCTCAGGGTTTTTCAGCTGCACGGTGGCATCAACAACTGGATGAGCATTCAGGACATCTTCTATCATGGCTAGTTTTTCTTCATGACCGATCTTTCTGTTAGCAGAGCTGACAACCACCTTGTAGGACGTCCCGCTGTTCAAGTACTTATCAGTCAGATGACTTGGGAGATTCTGAATCTAGCGGAGTACTTGTATTTCGAATATAATTAACTTACCATTCCCAGTAAGTCATTCAGACATGAAGCCTCACACCAGACATGATAGACATATTTTATCAAAACACTACGCCCGACGATGAGATTGGCTTCCGCGTCATCTCGGAAGTTGACTACAACGTATGGCAGGGACCAGTACTCTTCAGTCCAATCCAGGATAGTCGTTTCCAACGGTACTTGATGCAGTTGGCATAGTGATATAAATTCGATCAGCCGAAAGTTCACGAATTCAGAGGCAGCAAACGCAAGAGCATACTTCATCTTTATGGGAATAACGTTGCCAAGTACTACCCCATTTTGCAGCACGTCGCGAAAATACTGAAGTGGAAAGAAACTGAAATAAGCTCGGCGAAATATTGGCTTCCCAACAGTTCTGATTAGAATGTGCGCTTCAGAAAGTGTCTGATAATAATTACTTTTGTATGGTATTAAATACTGAGTTATATCCCCGAACTAGCGAGTAATATTGCCGAATCAATGAAACAGCTAGAATTTTTGTATTCAAGAGTCCAGTTGGAAGGCTGTTATGCAGCTGAATGTGCTTTACATTGCCAAAAATGCAGTTGCCACACAATGCCAAGCACCCTCCCCCGCAACCTACCATCTTACAAAGTCAGTAGGTAGTGAGGCAACGCACACAGCCCGGGTTGATCACTCCCACTAGTGGGCGGGAATAACGGAAACAGTGTCAACACTGGTAAGTCCGGAAAACTGTTGCGCTTGATATACAGTGACGCGGGAGAACGTTAAGCGATCGGTTTTTAGAAAATCAAGAGGCGATGTGACGGAATGTCACTAATTCAAGTAATTCCTGAGCCACTCGAGTACACTGTGTCTTGCATTCAAGTTACCACTGGCTTCGCTCCAGTAATAAGTCAATCGAAGGGGAAGGACCGATATAGAAGTTGCAGTACCATCCGCGAGTCAACACATGGTCCAGTAAACTCAAGCTCATTAGTGAAATTGAGCTCACTGAACAATGTGTAGAACTAGGAATATCACTATTACGAGGTTGTGGCAATAGCATCGGCCGTAGACTAGAAGATATCATTGGAAACCTTGTGTCGGTTCTTGGCTTTCATTTCCACCCACTATGCTATGGCACGGTAGTATGAGACGGCCGTCTTTCGAAGTAATATAATATTTTCACCGTCGTGCTCATGCGGTGGACACAAATGGTCACAACTGCATGCTCGTGACTCGGGCATCAGCCGAGAAACCCATGCTTAAGACGCTCGAGCCCGATTGGCTCACATTCAGACCAATCGGACACGCCCGCAGCAGGCTAGCGACACATCTGTTCAATCTACATGCTGTTCGATAGTCTGAAGCGGACCACTCCGATCAAGAGGCTTGAGGGATTTTTTCGTGCTGCCAATAAATTGTTTCGCAGCGGCAAGAAACTTGCGGACCCGTCCCAGTCAGTAAGGGTCTTATGGTGATGCGGGAGTGTTCAAAAGATAGTCATTATGGAGTTGGCAAACGGACATCACCTTGAGTTCCAGTGGCCTGTTTTTTCCGCTTTCATGCAGCTTTGGAATTGATGGAAGCTGTTGCTGTAAGCAGCCTAACCCTAAACAATGAGACGCTATCTGCGCTGGACGCCCGATGAGATCGATCTAAAATTAATGTAACCGCGTGTGGTAAAGGATACGTCGAATTCGCTCCGGGTACCTAGGCGCCTGTTACCTCCATCTTTTATGAAATGTATGCAAAAATAACTTTCGGCGGCTAGTTCCTACGTGATGGTCCCCATGGCACCAAAACTTCCATCCCGTTTGATATTTCGCTGTTAGGATCGGCTTGCTTACTAACGGTACCAAAATGGAGATACCTGAAACCCACACAACGGAGAGAAAGCTAACCATCCAACATGCGTTTCGAAAATCGGAATATTTTTTATCCTTCGTTCCACTTTTGGTCAAGCCGAGGAAGTTTTGAAGATACCTATCGACCTCAGAGCATACTTATGGAGAAGAACGAAAATCGAGCAGTTGCTTACCCTTTGATTTTGCCAGGCCCATTTACGAGGATAGGCATCAGACCATCGATGGTAAAACAGAAAACGTGCCAAACAAGACGTACCCTAAAACTGCTGTTCCCGTGGTTCTGTTAAGTCCACAGATCAGGGGGTGGGCTGGCGAAATTGGCCAATTAGATTCTAACGGGATGACTCAACTGCATCGACGAGTGATCAGCAGCCGTAGGAGCATTTTGTTTTTTATCCAAGCGGTTTTATCCACTTTCCAAATCCGCCAGATCTGTCGTCCGAGAGTTCAGATAACAACAATAGCTGCAACACCATTGAGCCCGTCGTCGATGATTTGACTAGCCGGAAGTTTATGGTGCTTGCTTGGGCAACAAGATGAATCTATGCACACACCTTGTCGCACGATATCGTGTATGGAGTATTCTATTTTGCAAGATACACGGATAAAGCCTACTATACCGCAACGTTTGGCAACAGCAGGCACGCGGCACAGACATATTCTCTAATGTGAGGCAATATCCCGACATCACAAATGTTCGACGAAATTCGACTTGCACTGTTTTTTCTCCGAGTTTCTGCCGCGTATGAATCAGATAATGGGATAATGTACACGTGAAACTTGAGAGGTCGCTAAGTTTACTGTTGAGACGGGTTACTGGTCTTATAGCTGTAATCACCTGATCAACTGGATCCGTGTCTCTAGTATGTGGTCGCCATTGGCGCACAATTCTTTCTGCTTGTTTTCACCACACATCAGCGCTCACCTGAATCCCAAATGGAAGGAAAGTAACAGGATAGCGGTAACTCTGACGGCCTTCGCCCTCTCTTCTTCAAAGTGAGATATTGTTCACCATCTGTGTCTCCATCATTGATGACATCGGTTTCGAACACTGGTGCTGCCCTATCGAACAACCTCGACATTTTGATTCACTGGTAATTCAGATAGGGAATTGAACAAACACAGGCAGTAGAAATCTTGATACAGGTAATCTGGACTTGTCCCGCGGCGTTCAGCATGCATCCACATTTACGGTCCCGGACTATCGAAACAAAAACAGGTGCCGCAAAAATGTGTTTTTTAAATCCAGTATGGCCGTCCAAATGAAAAAAAGCGGTCTACAAAATGCAGTCGTTGGCACCAATGATCGCTGTGTTTGGCGTTTTAATCTTCGGTTGGCACATAACACTGGTAAACTGATGTGTTCATGGTTACCAGTGCTCTGACTTTCGATTGGCTTCATGGAAATGGCTCTCCCCCAATTTTCTTCGGAGGGGATGAACAAATCGGGCATTACCTTTCGCTCCAATAACATGATCGGGCCTGACAATATGCCATCCACTGATTGAGAATAAACATTATTGTTATGATTCATAATCACCTCAGAAAGCTGTACTCAGTTGAACACAATTATGGTTACCTCAAAACCCTTTTGTGCTGACACGGTTATTCGGTGACTCATCCCTCTAGACCCCTTCAGGAACGCCCGGATACCACCATCCGCCGGGGTATCCTCGAGGTTCGATACATCGTTGCCAGTCGTCAAGGTTAGATCACACTTGGCAATCCTGATGCAGGTTCAACGCACAAGTCATGGCTACTGTATCCTAAAAGTGAGCCGCGCGTGGCTGCGGGATGGCGTGAGAAGCCTTATGGATAAGCGTGACCATCAGTGCAGGGAAATTTCAGTTACAGAACATGTCACTGGATGGCATGGCCAGCTTCAAAGTTGGCTCTGAGTGTGCATATTTTCCTAACAGCGAGATTTTACGTATTGTGACCATGCTGTGACGCATTACGATGAAGGGACACGCCCTTGTGTGTCTCATAGGTTATTCGACAACGTCAAATGTCGGATTCTTTTTGGCAGGTCTTCATTGTTCCTAAGCGATATTGTGTGAAGGCGAGGTGGAATTTACCAATCACCGAAACCAAATTCATGGAAGCCCTAGCTGCAACTTGATCTGTAGATCAACTCCTTTTAAACAGATTCCCTTCTCCGTTGTTCAAATAACGTTGTTCAAATACCATAGCAAACGAAATGGGCATAGCAGGGCAGAGCAGTGATCTTTGGACTGGAATCTTCCATTAGACAATGAAAAAATCGTCCATTCGTCATTCGAAGGAGACTCAGCATACCTCTCATCACGCTCTGTAAGAATAGACCAGAAATTATGGAAACAGAAAGTAAGAGGTATATAGGAACTTGGCACTCTTAAAACTGTCCTCTTTGCTGAACCATATTAAACCCGTTCAGAGGGCTCTGGCCGCCCTGCGGATGATTAAGCAAGTGTTTTCTCGCTTATGGAGCGTGTCTAAAGAGCTATTACGTTTATTGTGAATAGCTTCTCACGGTGCTTCACTTTTTTCACCGGGGTATCGTCGCTCCAAGGAGACCTCATACTTGCTAATGCCCTGTTCAATCTCAGTTTTGCCAGCAGTTTTTTACCGTTGACCCAACTAACCTATGGCAGTGACGTATGAGAACATTTTCTATACCAGGGTGCATAACTTCATTAAGCAACAACTTTTTCAATTTATAGTAGCAGGTACGTCAAATAAACTTCCTCCAGCGGTGGTTTACGCTGTTTCTGAAACTCAGTTCATAGCATTTTTAGACGATTTTTCACTTGCATCATTGCGCTGGCAATATTTCAACATGCGCTAATAACCCAAAGAGAAATTCTTCACCATTATTTCCTTTCTAGCTTTCAATTGAACAAAAGCCGCTGAGTGAAAAGGACAAACGCGATCCGGGAATTATCGGCAAGACCCTCTGTCCTGTGTAGCGTTCCGTGAATCCATGGAAACTCCATCCTATGAGCCGAACAAACAAGTGTGTTTGCTGCCTCTCAAACAGATTTTTCAGTTATTACGCGCAGGGCAAATTCAGGCCCCACTGTTAATCGCCCTGTATAATGCTACAATTCTGCAGATACCTGGATATCTCGGAACCTCTTTTCTCTAACTATAATAATTTTGAGTTCCCACGACTTGAAGAGAACCCCTGATCGTGTGGATGGTCCAGCCTTTGCAAGTAACAGCTGCCAATTGTCGTTGCTGCTTAAGGTTGCTAGGGTTTTACGTCCCATTGTTCTCATCGTGTTTGAGATGGATAGGAAGTTGATTTCCCAGCTAAGGCTGCCGAATCATAAGTTTATGTTTGGATCATTTTATTAACCATTTCTTGAATGTACCCTTTTTGCACTGCTACAGACAACTTCCATGGTGCACTGTAGGTGTGCATATCTGTATCCCGGACTTATCCAAAGAGCAATGAGTTTTGAGCGCCTATAGATTGTAAGGATTTATCAGTCCATTGCAAAGGAGGCGAAATTGTTATGAAAGCTCCTGACTTTCTGGGAGCCGTAGAAGTGAGCGGTTAACAAGTGTGTTTTTCGACCAGCCGGAGCTTTTGACATGAACAAGGAAATGGAAGGTAACCTGGATTGCTTCTGCCATTTTGGGGCAATATGCCAAGCCATTCCCCGTTGGACTGGGACAGTATTTACTGACCGGTATTTCCACACGCATGGGGGAATTTCTGGCTGATACGCAGAAGCTCAATATCATATCAACGAAAACAGGCTTGTCCAGCATATAATATTCTAGCACAATAACAATTCTACGACCATAGAAATCTCCAGTTGTCAAGGGCGCTCTCTAGCCCACTAGCCGTAATTAAACTCATAATTCGGATAGTGTTGTGAGTGAATAAATAGCTCGAATGAACTTGTTGTCGCTGAAATAAAACATCGCTGTTTGTTCATCATCCAAATTTACACAAACGAACGGACAAGTGAACCCAGCGCTGCCGGTGGCAACTACTTGCCTAATAGACAATACAACTTTACGAAATAAACTATGCGAATAAATTATCTAGTGGTGCAACAGAATGTAATTTTTTTAAGAATATAACATCTCGATCAACCAGGCCGCTACCTTCTGATGAACGAATCAGGATCGCCTCCTGGCGATATGGCGGATACTCTGGTAACCAAGTGCACGCCAAGACCCCACAACACAAACTAACGCTGAAAATAACGGATGAAGTGGCAAAACCCGGTAGTGGGTGCCGCAAAGCAACAGGTTGTCAAAATGATGAACATATAAAGGCACAAAACCGGATCAGCCAGCTCATCGGCGGTGCTGGAAAACATGAGCATGCAAAACAGTGCACCGAAATTTCGTTATCAACGGTAGGAAAAAATTTCTAGTGAGGATAAATACCAGGTCCGAGAGATTGTGTTAAAAGTAAAAACTTGGTAGCGCTTCTGCTGAAGTGGTTAAAAATGCTCTAGTTTACTTCATTTTGGTGTCCTTCGTTCCTCTTGGTTGGCGTTCTTCGACGGAGCTATCCTATTTATCTTCGCAGACACACCTGACCGCACATCAACGGCTTAGGAGGTTGTATTTGAATTTCAGAATTCCAGTACACTCTTATGCTCAAAGAACAAGAAAGAGGTGGTCACGTTTTACAAGTAAGGTTTTGTGCGAACAAATTTATAATGCTTTTACGCTTCAACACAGTGTTACTCATTTTCATCGGGACTACATTTGAACAGCAAGTGACATGCTTAAAAAAGACTGAGTCAGATACTCCAAACACTTAGAACGAATGCAAAGAATCGTATTATTTTTTTTCCTAAATGCGTCTTGTACGCATCCAGTATAGCAGTGCAGCCCAATTTTATAAATCAGGATATGGGGATACTCGTTAGCTTCGCTCAGAAGGCTGTTTCGCGCGTGCATTTGGGTGACAAAGCACAAGACACATGCATCTCAAAACACAATCAAGAATCCAAGTCAGCTATCCAGAATAACGCTGTACGGAAGAAATTGTCTGAACCTTTGAAAATATAAGCGGCCGATCATAAACATATTTTTAACTCTAGGTGTGCCAAATTCACGCTATGGAATTTATTATTCAGGGTCTCCACTTATTTTCACTGCTTGATACTTGCACAAAACCACCCGATTCGCAATGTTCGCTAGGCGCCGGATAAAACTCATTTGTGGGCTAATTGTGGTATCACTATCAAAGTGCTCTGACATTGCTATGAAAAAATATATATGTGCCGTTGATGTTCGGAAGGCGTGCAGCGAAGCACAACTCTGAATTTAAGGGTCTAACGGTTTGCTTGGGCCAGAGAATGATGCACGCGTCCATTTTAGTAAATACGCGGAAGGGCAGCCGAAACCTACCAATATCAACGGGGAGCAGAAGTGTTAGCATAAAAAACTGTGTTTATGGGACAGCAAAGCCAAGCGAGCAACGGTAAAGCATCTTGAGGCATAGAAATGGTAATGAGGCAGCAGTGATCAAATATCTCTGAAGTACACCATTGCCACCAGAGACAAAATGATTATGCTTCCATTCCGCCAATAGGCTTGTTAGCTGAAATTGAGACGAAACTCGCTGCAAATCTTTGGCTATAATCCTGCTCTCACACGTCCCAATACTCAGTGTTGGAACATCATGAACGAGGGATCCAGCGAGGTTCCAGGTGAGCCTCCCGACGAAACCAAATTAGTATGCAAATGAGTGTATTCCATTTGCGAACCAATTGAACCATATTACTTTCTCACTTTATATGCCTGCTTGTCGGCCCGGTTGGTGGCCATATAAACCACAGTATCCCACATTTGTGTCCATACAAAGCGTCACCAGAATAAGCCGGGCTAAACCACCCGCCGATTCGCCGCATGACCTGTGGATTGAACAGTTTGCCTCCCGCCACTCGGTTTCTGACGGATATTCTAACAACGTCCTCTGGTGAGCTGTAGAGCAAATCATGAAAAACCCATCAAATCTGAAATGAAGAAGAGGGTTTGATACGATGATAAACGATTTGGGAGACAAAGAATTCCGTGACGAGTTTGAGTCACTTAACACTCAATCTTTGAGTACTAAAATTATGTCGTTAATTACCAGAAAATGTATTGACACTTATGAAATGTTACGGAACCTGCCTTCGAAATTGGCAATAAAATATCCAAAAAAGACAAAAAAGACAAGTGCAAGAACAACATCCAACGCAACAACAAAAAACAACAAGAAAACCTGACAACGCGTAATGTCTTGACCTATAATACACCGTAATTTTGACGACCGTTTACTTTTACTTAAAATTGGAGACTAATTTCACCAAAGAAGTGCTGAAGCTCTCTTTGATGGAAACTTCTTCATTCAGCTAAGGTTCCCGCATTAGAGTTTGGCTCAATGCCGTTTAGGCTTCTTAAATCCTGAAGTTTGATGGTTCCCTGCGATCCATGAAATCCATAAAGTTTCACTAAGGTGAACACCATGGAGTCACAGCTTATGACAAAAAGGTTCATGTCGTTGTATTTGTCAATACTTCACGGAAGAGCCTTTCCTCTCGGTAGTGGTATTTCAGGTCAATTTCTCAAGTTATTTTTACCCTAAAGAGCAATGAATTCAATACATGGAAAAGTAAATCGGTATCTCACTAGGTTTCCCTGGAATTCACGGACGATTGCAAAGCATTCAACTTTTATTCAACGGGCAACTGTCCTCGAAACTTGTCCCGATGGAGTGGAGATAAAGTCATATATATATTAAAGGAATTCACTTCAGAAATGCGTGCAGAAAATTATGGGATGCGCTTGGAAATAGTGAAATAAAGACCATGAAAAATTTGTAGGCGAGCATCAGTTAGTGTGTTTCAAGACGGCAAACTTCCCAAGCGTTACTGCAAAGCAAGAAGGTTTGTACCAGCCAGTTTTCTATATCCGATTTATCCGCGAAATCCTTCGTATACCTAAGTTTCAGGGTGAATTACCTGAGCTCCTTGATGCAAATGTTTTACAAGGCCACTCAGACGACAGATTCTCTAAAGCAGATTTATGATCGTCAGAGCCCATCAGAAAACAGGACTAATGCTGTCACGCTCTAATTCAGCATGATGGTCAGACCTATTTGGAAAATGAATAAAGCTCAATTTTGTTTTAATTGCAAAAATTTAACATGCATGTGGGTATGTAGCACACTTATGTCAGTGAAGCTATTGCGTTGCGTGTTACGGAGCCCACTTAATAAGATGGGGTTAAAACGAATAAGTTGCCCGATTTGCACTGTGACACAGCATTGCTGATTAGTATTTTGGGCCTTTGTGACCAGAGCTTCTCCGGGCTTCTGTGTGTAGTAACCTGCTCCTCCGTAACCACTCTCAAAAATGTCCTTTAAATGTGTTTTATTGAAGCGGTTATTTAGCATCCTAACTTTGACAGTAGACAGATTTTAGGCGGCTCAAACTATGGTAATTGCTTATCATGAGGCCGTTCCATAATGAAGCTTCCCGTGCTCACTTTTGTTCTTTCAAATGAGACGAAAATATCCACATGATTAAGGAAACTTCGCTCGGTCAAAACTTTTGACATATATTTTGCCTGCTTGTGAGTACAACCGAAGCGACACAAGAACCTAATGTACTGAAAATTAAATGTATGCGCGAGAAGTCTTGCTGCTCCATACATGGTTACAGCCTACTGCGGTTCATGTGCTTGGTGAATGGTCAGGTAAGAGCTATGTAGACAGTAAGTCCTAATTAAAAAAATATTTTGAAAAGCACGCCGTTAAAGCCAATCAGCGTAAAAAAAGCCTTTTTATGCTGGAAATTGATGCAGGCTTATAGAAGACAAGTCTTTGGGGTGCGTTTTTATATTCATACTGGAAAGAAACCTGCGAACCAAGGTCCATTATCAGCCATTGTGACGGCCTGAAAGAAACTGCAGGAATTCTCCAAAGGTTCTTCAGTACTGTAAAGCCTAGCAGAAGTGGTTTTCGTTGCAAACCCTCCAGATCAGATAGGCAACCTCCTAACTGACAGCGTATAACCGCGACAAGCATGTGTGGGCGGACTCACCCCACAAATATGGTCAGCAATTACGGCTGGAACAAAAGTGCTGCCGCTATATGCTCCTGTACTTCTTTTGGAGTCAATCAAGACATTTTGAGAAGTTTGCTTTTTAGCTTCGTTTGATCCAGAACGTCGGCACCGGGCACGCAATTTTACTGTCTGGTGTGACCGAGTAGGTGGGAATGCCGACGAGAAAATTTGTGATGGAATGTTATCCAAAACAGGAGTGGAATTATCTAAATTCCGGCTGTCAAGATCAGAGGCTGAAGATGGGGTCCCCAGGATCATGGTTGGAGCCAATGGCCTCGTCGTCGAACTGGATTCCGGAAGGTAGGTGCAACTCCAACGGCAGGATCCTGTGTTACGGAAGGCTGCGTTTGCCTTTTTGGATGGAAAAATCATTTAGAAAGGAAAGGGAGACAATGAATTAGAAACGTTCCAGAGTCGCTTTGATCAACTGAGGCTGAATGAAGCTGGCATAATTTCCTGGGATGCCACTGATTCGGATGTTGTGCTTCCCGTGATACCTTGCGTCTTGAGACGGAATTTTATCGTCCAATGCCATGGGATGGCACATACAGGGTGCACAAAGACGTACGACTTACTTCGGCAGAGGGTCTACTGGCCCGGGATAAGAAGTGAGGTGATGGATTATGTGGTGTCCTGTAAGCGTTACCAAGCATTCCGGCAGTTTTTGCAGAAATGCGAGAGAAGAAAGAATAGCACTGCATTACTGACCCGTAAATAGCATTTTTAAAGAACTAATTAAATGGCCTACGACTGTTGTTGGCAACGTATTTGCGCATGTAAGCCACCCACCAAACAATTAGCGCAGGGATGTCCTCCCAGATTTAATGACATTGGGTAAAAATATAACTGGTGACAGAATGTCAAAAACGGACCCAATACATTGGGTTAAAAATGATTAAACAACACGGCATAATCAAAATGACCATAGAAGACACAATATTTGGTTCTTGCGCCTTTGGAAACTCGCCAACAAAAAACTCCACCCCGCAGGTTCTATTGTTTGCGCTGGGTTTTGGGTAATTTAGGCACACATGCTTGCACTTTGTGATAGGGAAGCTTAGCAATATAGATAAGATTCGCCATGTCATGGTAAAACGAAAGTTTTTAGGCTGGAATGATGTCATAAAAAGGGCTAGTTTATCCTCGGTTTTTTTATTTAACAAACGAAAATAATTTTTGGGCCCTAAGACCTTTTCTACTTTTGCCATAATTGATTTTGTTCTAGGAAAGCCACCGTTCACTAAAGCTTCTCAATTCTGTCGGTAGAGCAAATTGTTATCCCCCATGTGTGTTTCAGACGCAAAGCTGTTGCATTCAGCATGTTACGTTTTCCGATCTCAAAATGCGTCTCCCAGTTGTGTTTGTCAGGTTTTCTATTTTCCCACTATTTTTCACGAGGTTCCGGATTGTTGGTCGATCACCGCACTGAAATCATTAAGCCCGACTGGGTGAATTCATTTCTCTTAAAACCTCTAAGTTCGCCTCGTTTTGTGGACAATGAACGAATAAAGTCAATCCACAGCACGTCAGAGCTCAACTAGATATCGTTTAGCCGCAATACCCACCGGCCAATCAGTCACGAGCTCACTTAAAACCTAGCAACCAAATCAAACCAACCTCGATGGACTGTAAACATTACGCAAGCAAACAGCTTGGGACGGTACAGAAGGAAATTCCACAACAATAAAGTACATTAGTTCGCGGATTTCCATAGGTGCAGAAGGGGACGCTTATTTGCTCAACCATTTAACAGTCGAAAACGCCACATTAACAATTACCTGAATAAATGTACAAAGGAGTGAAACATATCAACAATGCTTGAAAGCCTCTGAACAGTGACATTTGAGTTCCAAAAATAGGCCGTCTCAACCACGACCCCTGAATAGTCAGCGCACAAAAGTGAGCCATAGATTACAAGGTGCTGGACGTTTGTGAGGCTGCGTTATTTTTCTACGACGGTCAAGTATATCAACAGAGGCATGGGGCTCCAATGTAATTTACACCAAGAGGATTTCCCGCCTAAATTGGAAATGTCAACCGGGTGTCACTACGAATCATTGACACAACTCAATGGATCCGCTCGTGGACGGCATCACTGTCAGCATGTAATGGAATTCAGCACAATGCGGACATAAATAGGCCAGTATTCTGTTTAAAGGTATCAGGTCACCGAGTAAGCTAGAAACAAGATGGAAATGACTACCATTCCCGGACATAATGGTGAACTGAGAGGTGAATGTTGGTCCTGAAACCGGCTGACAACAGGAGGAGATTTATATGGATTAATTTATGAAACCATAATAGAGGTCATTCAATGAATCACAAGTGGATCTGCATTGTAACCTCTTTGAAAGGATTGAAGATATAATACAGCACTAGGAAACTGTAAAAAGAAGAACAGAAAAAGGGATATCCAAAACATTGAAAAGACGGAATTGTGGATGCCTCAAAAGTGACAAGAGTAAAGATAGACGGTGAGACGCATAGTCATACCTTAGTTTATTAACACAGTTGATCTCGCGGCCCATAAAGCGAATGCTTTCTCACGAAAACTGTTCTGAAAAATTAAAGGCCATATTGATAGGAGCAAAAGAACAAGTGGTGTACCAAATTAACCACGCCATCTGCCGCGGGTTTCATGCTGTAAAATATAAGTGGATACCACGCACAGGAAAAGTGAATCACAACGCGAACACAAAGAAACGTGATTCCTTGTTCCCAATCTTGTCACGTGAAGAAATAGGGTATAAATATAAGCTAAGAAAAGCAAAACTCTCGACAAGTGAAAGCACAAAAAGCGAAAGGGGCTGATACGATCTCCTAGGGTGTCAGACTAGTTCAAATATGTACAGCACCATTTGCAAAGTGCAAACGTCTCGCATGGGGCACTAGACGAGAGCAAGATGTTAAATGGAGAAACTAACAAACAAAAACCCACTCGAAGCCTTGCCAACAGGATTAACAGCGCTAAAATCAGAGGTTACAGAAAAATCTTTTCGCACCACAACCAAGGGCGGATACCAAATGGAGCCGGACTCTATGACATCGCCAAGCAGGGTATTGAATTTTACTTTTGGCTACCACTCTGGGCTACCTTGTGGCACCTTGACGGAGCGCCATTTTGGGACGGTATGTTTTGGCCCATGCGATTTTATGGGTTTTCTGAATTAAAGGTCACACTCAGAACCGCCAACGATGTGCGATACACCCGTGAACCTGGACGGCTTGTGAGTGTACGAACTCAAGAACATGCGGAGTAAAAATGTGATCCTCCCTGTAGGGGTACCCCTCTACAACACGCGGTTCTCATTCGCCGTGCATGCTACTAGATCTGTAGAGTGACAAGCACCCAAGTGTTCGTATGTTCTTGTGCGGTGATAAAGTGCCTCAGTCACCAGATATTTTATGGGGTCGGGGGGCCATGACAATAAAAAGAGCTCAGTCAGTCTGAACATGCAGGCAGCGAACAGCCGTAAATTGAAACAAGTTGCGGAGGCGAAAGATCCCAAAGCTACCGATTGGGCCCTGAGATTTGATTGGAGATTTTCAGTGTGTAAGCGGTTGATAAACGACGTCCAAACGTTGGAGTGAAACGTCATTTCAGGCAGAAACTCATCACAATGATATATGTGGATGTTGTTGAGTGCGCTATGAAAAAAGTATGGATTCCGCTCGCGGCACATGTTCAGATACACTATCGGATACGGGCAATTTTTGCTTAGTCTGTGATTCACAGATTTGAGGATTGGGACGTAGGATTGAGGCCTTCATCCAGGTTTCCTGGATCGGTTTTGTTCTTGTCGTTTGACGGCTGCCGTTCACCTGAAGTGCACAAGCTATAATAGGGCGTAGCACTGTTCTTTATGTATTCAGCGCGGTAAGTAAGCTTCTCAGCACGATTACGCGCATAACACAGGTTTAAATAATATTTCGCACTAGCTGGAGCCCGGACAACGTTGGCGGAGGATTATTCCACGCAACAACTACCCAAATAAGTATATGAACTAATAGAGGAGTGCACCCTGAGCAAGAAGATCTTATTACCATGTCCTCACTTTGTGTTAGTTGTGTCAACGGTGTAAAACCTGTTGGCCAATCCTTTTTCAAACAGGACATAGATAAGTACTATTTCTCGTTGGAGTCAAAGACAGTTCAGATGGAAAGAGTCAAGCACCGCGAGATGTAATTCATAGGCAACACATTCAAAGTGGGCAACAAATTTTGTTGGACGCACTAAATATGGGTTATGTCCTTCTCGCTTTCTGGGTAGATAATTTGGTTAGCATATTCAGGAAGCAGTCCGATATGGGCTTCATAATGTCTGAAAGTTCGTGCGAGAAATACGGGGGAAGGTACGCCAAATCCTCCATAGATCCGCGATGGCTGTGATGCGCTGGGGATTGCTAGTCCAAAGAGAGCCAGATACTCAAATTTAATTTGGATTCCGTCATCATAATATCCGCTGGTCCATCCTCACCATGCAAGAAAAAGCCGATTGCTGAGACTGCGAAGGACACAGTGATGAACATGACTGATACTCTATTCGTTGCTCCGTTCAGTATTCTCTTGTTTTAATATTCCATATGCTGTACACGTTCGCCAAATAGAATACACAGGTGCTGTTTGTATTACTTCCCTGAATACTGGATTTGTAGTCCGTCTGGTTATACCGACATGCGTACGAAAATTAATGCTCACAATTAAGCGTCGCGTCATAGATTAATTGCTGGCATTCACCTGCCCGAATTACAGCAGAAGCTGCTACTCTGTCCGGATCAGAAATTTCAAACTATTCGGCAAATATGTGAGCAGTATGAAGTAAGAAGCAAGTAGCAAAGACTGAGGAAGCAGTCTTGTTAAATTATTCTACAAGAAATAATTCAAGGACGCAGACGAACAACAA